GATCGATTGGGAAGGCACTCCGTCGGACAAAAACAAACAGCTAAACCAGGTTTAACGATAAACCTGGATAAATTAAGCGGAATGAAAAGCTGACAGGATTGGAAGCCAGCGGGGGAATTACACCAGCCCCAAACTCCCTGTGTCCAGAGTGCGCGCTTTCCTGATGTCCCTGTCCGGTGTCTGGCGCGTACCCCGCTTCCTATTGAGTGAGAAGACCCCGAGTGCAAGAGTTCCTGATCCAGCAGTCTGTCGAGTGGCCAAACTGTCCCAAGGAACTCGGAATTAACGCTCGCTGCCTTGAGTAGTTTAACAGTTCCATAAATCAGGGTTATGTAAAGCTGGCGCAGTTTGGGCCAGAATATACTGCTTGTTTTGAGGGTGTGATATACAGCCACTGTTTATACCTTGTGAGAACTGAACGCCCTCGACCAAAACGAATAATACACACACAAATATTTCAGTTTTTATGGAAAAGAAACACAATGAGGTGTTCAGAAAAAGACCCAAGAGGTGCAAGGTGTTTGTACTGAGAGGATCATAATAGCGGAAAAGTTGCCATGTTTCTGTTCTTGAGGTGGGCGAGGGTGGTGGGATGAGGCGGGTGGCCGCCGGTAAGGCCGCCCAGGAGTGATCCATCAGCCATGCGTCCCCCGAGCCCCGTGGTGCAGCTGACCCTCCTGCTGGCTGCTGCAGCCACCGCCAGCGACTGCCCCTCCTTCTGCTCCTGCAAGTGGAAACACGGCAAGCAAACAGCAGAGTGCCACCGCAAGGACCTACACACGCTGCCGACCAACATTGACCCGGCCACACAAGTCCTGGACTTGTCCCACAACAACATCCAGAGGCTCCCGCGGCTGGCCTTCGCCCAGGAGGGCCTGACCAACCTGCAGAAGATCTACCTGACCGACTGTAATCTGCAGGAGGTGGATAACGAGGCGTTTGGGGAGTTAAGTAACCTGGTGGAACTGGACCTGAGCGACAACCAGCTGAAGCAGGTGCCGAGTGAGAGCTTCAGACACACGCCGGAGCTGCGAGAGCTGTACCTCAGCGGTAACCCCATCCACAACATCGACCTGGACACCTTCACCCACCTCTCCTCCCTAAAGACCCTCGACATCAGCAAGTGCAGCATCAGGACCATCGCCGCACGCGCGTTCGAGCCGCTCAGGATGCTGGAGAAGCTAAAACTGGCCTCCAACAGACTGACGGAGCTGCAGCCTCGACTGGTGGACAGTTTACAGAACCTGCACCAGCTGACGGTGCACGAGAACCCCTGGTTCTGCGACTGCCGCCTGCGGAAGCTGCGGGAGTGGCTGGTGGTGCGCCGCGTCCCTCACACCGTCTCGCCCGTCTGCGCCAAGCCCCTGCGCATCCAGGGACTCAACTTCGATGAGATTGACGAGGATGAGTTTGCGTGTCCGCCGGAGATTCTGCCCACGACGCGCCGGATCGAGGGCGTGGCGGGGGTCAACACTACTGTGTGGTGCCCCGTGGGCGGCCTGCCCACGCCGGCCGTGTCCTGGCACGTCAGGGACACGGTGGTGCACAATGGGTCGTCTGTGGGCGTGGGCGGCGCCCATGGCTACATCCTGAACGAGGCGAGCGAGGAGCGGGGAAGCCTCCTGCTGCTGGTGGGGACCAGGAGCCAGGACTCCGGGCTCGTCATCCGGTGCGTCGCGTCTAACGCGGCCGGAACCGCGTCCGCGACCTTCGAGCTGGCCGTCGCGCAGCGCTCCTCTGCGAGCTTCTCGCCCGATAAGATTGCTGCCATCTCGTCCGTGTTGGTGGTGGTGGCTGCCATCCTCATCGGCGTCCTCTCCGTGCTGGCACGCCGCCGCCGCCACGCCCACACGCCCATACCCATCAAGACCGTCACGGTCAACGGCGCGACGGAGGCGCGCATCGCCGACTTGCCTTACACCCCTTCGGCGTACGTCGGCGGGTCGGTGGTGGCGACGACGGACAACCCCGACCTGCTGTGCGAGGCGGACCAGAACTCCGAGGGCGAGTGCTGCACGACCGACGACGGCAGCCAGCACTCCACCTGCAGCGTCGCCCGCAGACACAGCCACGCCGTGTCCCTGGACGGGGACAAGGCGCCCCTCGGCTGTCCCTTTGACTCCGTGTGGGAGCCCGAGAGAGTCCACGCCGTGCTGGACTCTGCGGCGCCGGAGCACGTGATGCACACGTCGCTGCACGAGCCGCTGACGCCCAGCTGCGACGCCCTGGTGCAGCAGCGGCTGCTCTCCTCCTCCCAGCGCCACCTCAACAACCGGCTCTCCTACCTGCCGGACTTCGCCCCGGACTACTCGGAGCTGTACTCCTTCAGCCAGGTGGGGTCGGGCCACACCTCCCTGAGCGGCGTGCCCGTCCCCCACTACGGCACCATCCCCCGCTCCATCAAGACCAGAGCCGCCGTCCCTGAGCTCGTCCCTGGCGACGGGACGCCGACGCTGACGCGGCACCCGAGGGCCTGGCACTACGGGTCCGAGGGCTCGCCGGCGGCGCCCATCGACCAGCAAGGGGGCTACGGCGCCTACACCAGCTCCCCGCCCACCAGCCGCGCCTCCACCTGCGTGCCTCAGCAGCCCCTGCACAGCCACAGCAACAAGCTGAGTCGCATCACCGCCCGAGACTCTCCCGACGAAGGCTACCAGGAGGGCGCCGACGTCTAGCACTCGTCTCGCGCCCTAAAGACCTTGAGGCGTGAGTGAAGCTCCACTAAGGCTCTCTGTGCCCGGATTTACCCGTGTGTGTGTGTGCCCACCTGGTGTATGCCCGACCCACCCACACACACTGTGTGGTGTGCTCGGTCACGGGGACAAACACTGCACTGCCACTATGCCAAAGTGGTGATGGGCGGCGTGACCTTCCCGGGGAGTTGTCTCCCCCGGGGCGCGAGCCACCTGTGGGAGCCCGCGACAGCCTGGCTACGTCACCACCTGTGTCCCGTGAGACCTGTCTCTGCCAGGTCAAAGATGGTCATCTCCACCACCTGTGTTCGCCAGATGGCTCACGTGCTGGCAGTTGGATGATTCTAGAGCTTCCAAAAACACTCTGGCATTGTAAAATGTCCATATATATATAACGACTCTTAAAATGAAAAAAAAATAAAAACTTTTTTCAAGGTACCTTTTCCTGCTAAACGTTGTATTCTCAGCCTTACACATCACATTCCTGATCGTTGTAGCGAGGTCTCTGTGTGCTCCAGGCCTCCTTAAAAGTTTCATTATATACATAAATATATATATAATTTTATATATGAAACGTTTGTGAACTGTGGCATTTTAAGAGCTTATGTGGCCATCAAGAGCAGCATTAACATAAGTGGTCAGAGAGTGTCGGCAGAGATGTCATTCCCTCGGTGTCAACCAATCGGGCTTCGTCACTTCCATCTAATTATACCACCCCACAAGCGCGTTCATGCCTAAGCAGCTGTGAGGGAGGAGGCCAAGCGATGCCTCCCCCTTGGGAGAAGTCATTTGATGCTTCAACACACCCTCCCCATACCCCGGGGGCGCCATTTGGTGCCTCAGGAGAAACCATGGGGTGCCACGCTCGTAGGGAATCATGCGGTGCCTCCTCCCACGTGGGGAGCCATGTGGTGCCTCTTCCCACGTGATCGCTGACAATAAAGCCAACACCACCTACTATATTTTTTGGTCCAAGTGGGGGAGGTAACGAGAGCTGTGACCAGGAGGCCAGCAAGGAACTCTTCCCAGTGTGAGACGTGCCTGAAGGCGAGGTCCTGCCTCCATCTCCTGCTAAGTACACATGTGAGACGCGCGTGTGTACACACACACACACCAGTACGCTCATCGTACACACACACCTGGCGGGGCAGCAGCACCTCGCCCTCATGCACTCATTATGTATATATTGTACATGAATAAAATCTACGTATAGATATAATGTATAGCTAATTATAAGATATGAACTCTTACAACTTCTTTCTCTTCTGTAGAAGGGATGCAGCATATATTGATTTCAAGAGATAGTCGAAATTCTTCGCATTAATCGTCCTCCTTAAAACATATATATATATATATATATATATATATATATATATATATATATATATATATATATATATATATATATTATATATATATATGAATTGAAAGCGCTCGATCAGCCTAATGTGATAAATGCCATTCTTGTTGTCCAAATGTACAGACTTTTACCCATTTTGTAAACAGAATCTATAGATGAAGCATTTCTATCCCAGATAAACTATTACTATCCCAGAGGAAGTATTAGTATCCCAAAGTTCTCTCAGCGACGATTTCTGCTATCCCTGTAATTGGTATCTAAATCCTATGCATTCTCCCTTGTTCTCTATCCGCTACGATAGCCCCTTCCTCAAGCCTATATGAAACCCCTCTATAATCTATGCTCTGCATCTCACTCTCTTATACTCCTGTAGTGTATTTTGAACGGATTTTAATTGGTGCGCTCTTTCCATTACCTGACAGTTGATTACTGATGTAGATATGATTGATCTCTTTAGTAACTCTTTCTTGTGGACAGATGCCTCGGTCACCTTATGAAGATGTGTGTGTGTGTGTGTGTGTGTGTGTGTGTGTGTGTGTGTGATTACCGAAGACCGCTACTTCGGTCATTGATGACTTCGCGCATGCGTGTTGATGCCTGTCTAGTGAATATACTGACATCAATATTTTTCACCGGTTGTTTAAATCATTTTATATTCAGGAAAAAAACAATTCATTTGATGTTCACTGCATACAACAAAATATATATACTCTCTTATACCAGGATGCAGGCATTTGAGGAGTTGGATTTAAGTTTCTTGGTGCGTTAATGTCTACAGCCAATCACAAATCTCAGTTTGTTGACACACTCGGCACCAGCCAATCAAAATGTGGATATGGTTGATGGGTGTGAGAAACGCGAGTGGAGATTTTAGCTTGATTAAGCCCAATATTCACATCTACTCTCATGTACACACAAATGCAAAGAAATACACAGCCTATATAAATACCTATACGTGCACACAATGCCCCTGCACGCACACACACACATACACACACACACACACAAAAACACACACACACACACACACACAGGCGGGAATACAAGAGAAGGTGCTCCAGTGGATAAGGGAATACCTAAGCAACAGGAGACAGCGAGTCACTGTGAGGTGGTGAGATCTCAGAGTGGCGAGATGTCACTAACGGAGTCCCACAGGGTTATGTTCTTGGACCTATCCTGTTTCTATATATGTAAATGATCTCCCAGAGGGAATAGACTCGTTTCTCTCAATGTTTGCTGATGCTACACAAGTTATGAGGAGAATTAAAACCAAGAAAGTTACCATGAGTCTTCGAGATGACCTAGACAAGCTGAAGGAATGATCCAACAATGGCTACTAGAGCTTAACTCGAGTAAATATAAAGCAATGATGCTAGGCTGAGGAAGCAGGAGGCCAGACACATGGTACCAAATGGGAGATAAATTCCTCCACGAAACGGACAGAGAGAAGAAATTGGGAGTTAATATCACACCGAACCTGTCTCCTGAAGCCCACATATAACAATATAATCTCAGCGGCGATTGTAAGATTGGCTAACATCAGAACTGCCTTTAAAAACTTTTATAAGAAATCATTTAGAACCCTGTATACCACATATGTCAGACCAATCCTGGAGTATGCAGCTCCATCATGGAGTCCATATCTTGTAAAGACCAAGACGAAGTTGGAGAAGGTTCAAGGGTATGACACTAGACAAGTCATAAAGTTCAAAGGTATGAGTCATGAGGAAAGGCTGCGTGAATTGCACCTTACACCTCACCTCGGAAGACAGAAGAGTTAGATTACCAAGTACATTACCACATGATTACCACGTACAAAATACTCAGGGGAATTGACAGGGTAGATAAAGACAGTTTACTTAGGACGAGTGGTACACGCACAAGGGAACACAGGTGGAAACTGAGTACCCAAATGAGCTACAGAGACATTTGAAAACAAATTTTTACTGTGAAAATAGTTGACAAATTGAATGCATTAGGCAGTGATGTGGCGAAGGCAAACTCCATACACAGTTTCAAATGTAGATATAATAGAGTCCAATAGGCTCAGCAGCCTGTACACCAATTGATTGACAGTCGAGAGGCGGGACCAAAGAGTCGAAGCTCAACCCCAGCAAGTACAAAAATGTCGGTAACAGTCCTAAGGTGGATCAGAGAGTATCTCTCAGGAAGGAAGCAGAGGGTGACAGTAAGAGCAGAAACATCAGAGTGGAGAGAGGTTACAAGTGGAGTACCACAAGGGTCGCCTCTAGAGCCCATCCTGTTTCTAATATATGTCAATGACCTGATAGAGGAAATTGCCTCCTTCATATCAATGTTTACAGAAGATGCAAAACTGACGAGAAAAGTCAGGAAAGAGATAGATTGTGAGGCATTGCAAATGGCTCTGGACACACTCCAGAATTGGTCTGAAAAATGGCTGCTAGAGTTTAACCCAGCTAAATGCAAAGTTATGAGGATTGGAACAGGGGAAGACAAATTCTTTAATCAGAAAAGGAGAAAACACTGGTAGTGAACATGACCCAAAATCTGATGCCAGAAGCCCACATTAACAGAATAACAACAGCTGCATGTGACATACTGGCCAACATCAGTGTATCCTTCAGCAACTTGGACAATGGGTCTTTCCGGTCCCTATATACAACGAAGGTCAGACCCACTCTTGAATATGCAGCCCCAGCATATTTCCTATCACCTAAAACAGACAGGAAAAGGCTACGAAAGACCCAAAAGATATAGAGCGAGGTTCACTCCTGCGTTAAAGAGTTTGAGCTATGAAGAATGGCAGAGAACTGAACCTTGCCACACTTGAGGAAAGAAAAAACGGAGACATGATAACGTATAAAATTCTAATGAAAATTTACACAGTAGGCAAAGCAGCGTTGGTCAATGCTAGTGGGAGCAGAACGAGGCGTCACAGATAAAAACTCGAGTCAGAAATGAGTCACAGAAACGTTAAAAAGAACTGTTCCCGTGTTAGAGCTGTTAATATGGGAAATAGATCAGACGCCCAAGTCGCTAAAGCTAAAATTTTAAACAAATTTTAAAATATATATATGATAAGCGCGTGAGAAATGAGTCATTTCATTAGTCTAAGAACGTTCGGAAGGCGGGTCTAGGGGCCTAGATTGACTCTGCAAGCACATTTAGGTGAATACACACACACACACACACACACACACACACACACACACACACACACACACACACACACACGCACACACACACACACACACACACACACACACACACAAATAAATACACATTCCAAATAAATGGAATGCATTAGGCAGTGATGTGGTTCCAACTGACTCCATACACAGTTTCAAATGTACATATGATAGAGCCCAGTAGGCTCAGGAATCTGTACACCAGTTGATTGACAGTTGAGAGGCGGGACCAAAGAGACAAAGCTCAACTCCCGCAAGCACAATTAGGTGAGTACACACACACACACACACACACACACACACACACACACACACACACACACAAAGATGAGACATATTTTGCATTCAAACACTGTATTTCTGTGTGTCGACGAGCTGTGTGTGTAGGCTCGGCCCCAGCCCCACACACCAACCCGACCTCCACAAAAATGGCCTCACGGAATGACCCGCGACGAACTGAAAACTCAACACTTTTTTCTCATCATATAATTCCATGATACTAAAAAATACTCCCTTCATTATTTGCTGTTCTACAAAGCTATTGTAGACCCTAAAACAAAAAGCAAGATAGAGCCAACAAAAAAAACTGTGTCATGTCTTACTAAGCAAACACACAAAAGAAGTACAATGACAATTAGCCTCGCAAAATCAACCACGATAACGTCACTGAATGTTTTTCTCCCCTCAGAGAACAACTAGAGTCAATTGGGTTAAAGTTTGCACTGGTTTTAATTCATTTTTTTTTATTCATTTTCGTAAATGTTTGTTTTATTTCGGGCCGACAGACAATGCAGTACTGGGGTCGAGAGGGGTCTAAGCTGGCATGCAGCTATAGGAAGGTTCGGTAGAGTCAAGATGCATCAGAGTATCGTATGGTATTCGACAATAATGTTGACGGCGTTAGTGTGGCTTTGCAGTGTTTTGTGGTGGGCCAGCATGGCCACTCGTGTCCCGGCTATTAGCTCCCCTCACATATATCATGGGGGGGGGGAGGGCCGGACTCGGGGCCACGGAGCCCCTAACCTTGAGCGCTGCTCCACATAAGGCGCAAGATGACAGGCCACAGTGCCCTGCACGCGTGTGCATGAACGCGGGGGAACGGTAGAGACGTTCATGTGAGGATCATGCAGCAAGGATGGTGAAGATTGGCAACACTGGCTTTCTTCCTATATCAAGGATGGTGAAGATTGGCAACACTGGCTTTCTTCCTATATCAAGGATGGTGAAGATTGGCAACACTGGCTTTCCTCCTATATCAAGGATGGTGAGAGCTTGGCAACACTGGCTTTCTACAACACTAGTGATGGGCTTCAACTTTCATAACACAAGTTGAAGCCACTATTATGAAGCACTCTAGTGTTGCTTCAACATTGGCTCCAGCACCGGTGTCCTGAACACTGGTCTACTCTAAGCTGCTCTGGGCATGACAATGATTTAAAACTTGTTGACCAGACCACACACTAGAAAGTGAAGGGACGACGACGTTTCGGATCCGTCCTGGACCATTCTCAAGTCGATTTAAAGCTTATCTCAACAAATTGCTAAATCTGCTATACTGGTATAACAGATTTATCTGCTATACCAGTCTCCTCAACAACCTGCCTCTCTGGTTTACTGGTTTACTTTCGCTGATTTCTTTAAGACATCTTCAAGGCGTGATCCAGCGGTTGCCACACACTCAATATATCGAAGCCCTCCCAGAAGAGAAGAGCCCTGCAGCTTATGTTGGGAACTGCATGAAATATCCCCGACATGTATTTGCATAGCATATTAATTGCGGTTACTAAATTCTAGCGCCGATATATTTTAAGAGGGCGAG